TTTCAACTGCCTCACTTTAAAGAATTTCCCAGAAAGTTTTTAAACACAGTATTAAAGATAATTAACTGGTTCTGGAATACTTCAGAGAAGAATGTATTAGCTGAGTCTCAGGAGTCTCTCAAAGACGCACCTTTCATCCTGAGCAAGTGCCAGCTATGTTAATTAAGAAAAAGTTGTGAAACACAGATGAAACTACCCTGCAATATTAAGCAAAAACTGCTTCAGTAGGTACTTCAGATACTTCGTCTTAAGACTTCTCCTCTGGAAAGTTAGGTTCTTAGGCTTCTGTTCTTACGATTATGGAGCCGAATTATGGCTAACCCTCCGCAGAATGCATATGCATTAAAGAGCAAACAGCGAGCGATTGCATCCATGGAGCCAACCACTTTATTACCCAAATAATTATATTACTGATCAGCAGTTCCTTTGATCAAATGTCCTGTCTATTCCTGGTTGATCAGGAATTCCCAGCTGGTTTTTCTTCTTCATATGTTTGTTCATATTTGCATCTTTTGAAGTCAGATTAATCCAAGTAGTTTAGCCTTGTGCCTTTTAACTCTGTAATTCAAATTACACATCTGTAGACATGCATTTTTCTGCATTACCTATTGGTCTCTCCTATTGTTGGCTGATTCAGATACTTGAGTTTGTATAATGTTTAACAATCCAAATAGTAACATAATAAACAGAAGAAGGAAGGAAAAAATTCCTTGTTTCATATATGAACAAAGCCACCACTATTTTTTCTGTATTTCATATCTTTTTCTACTATATAATGTACAAAGTACAGTTATATCTTAGTGCTTTATTGATAATTTTGTATTGTGATCTAAAAAAAGTGTTACCCATTTAGTATCTTACCCCTAACAAAATAATTATTAGTCTATTTGAGGGCGGTCAAACAGTGAAATAGGTGGCTCACAGAGGCTGTGGGGTCTCCTTATTTTGAGAAATTTTGTCTGGGCACAGTCCCAGGCAGTAGAGTACCAGGCTAGTCTAAGGTGTCCTTGCTTAAGCAGGGTGTTGAACTAAATGATCTGTGGGGTCCCTTCCCCAGCAATTCTGTTTAATTGGGTAATCTGAAGACAAGAGTATTTAAATGCATATCATACAGTCTCTTAACATAAAGAGTTGGGCCTTACTTTTCTGTACAACAGATCTACTTTAAAATGTAAATAAAAAATTTAAAGATCCAGCTATGACTTCGTAACCAAACTGAGTCTTTTTGATAAAGCTGTCACTGGTTGTAATAAAATCTGTCACGGAGAAAGGCCATGCTCATCTCTCCAGTCTGTGATAGTAAGTGATGATGTGATCCATAGGCAGAAAATTCTGCATTGGTTTTAACCTTGTGATTGCTACCAAAAAATGAACAAATGTACAAATTATGATGAACAGGCATGGGAGACTAATAAGAAATAGAAAGTCAGTAGAGTAAAAAGGATTTGAACATGAAAACCTGGTCAAAAATTGATTAGTACATTAGCATATCTGTAAGACATGCCATGAGCAAGATATTCAGGGACCCTATGTGTCTGTGGCCTTACTGCAAGCCAGAGCTGAGTACCTGCATTGTTACAACTGCATGGATATAATTACGTCTTCCATGCCCTCTAACAATGAAGTCACATTCTTCATAGACAAAAAATTAGATGAAGCTCACTAGTCTCAAGAGTGTTTGATCTGAGGTCACTCTTGAAGTTCTGTCTTCTTATCTTCTACCTTCTTTATTGGTATATGAAAGCACGTAGCAGATGATGTGCTTGTAAAATGAACTGCATGTGTATGCAATTATAGTGATTGGTTCCTTTAACCTGTTTTAAAAGTGCATGTTTTTTACAGAAAATTTGGATTTACTTTCTATGAACACATTACCCATTATCAACACACTGTAATACTGCCCAGGTATTCTGACATGGAAGAATTTGGGAGTTCAGGTCACGCTGCAGCCATGATCAAGAAGCTATTTGCGAAACTTTGACTTGGATTCGTATCTTGAGACAGTTGGCTGGCATTGCGGTTGCACCATGAAAGAGATCAATGCAAATAGTTGTGGCACAGGGGCCTTCCTTGTGTTCATGAGATTCTTCAGTGCAGAGATTTAAGACCTCTTACCAATACAAAGTAGGGACAGAGTAGATACAGTAGTTAGACACTAATGGAACTGGCCAAATGCTACAAGTGAGCACAGATAATCATCAAAACCATGGCACACTGAATTTATATGTTGCATTTTTTCAGTGCTACTGAAGAAGAAACCCTGTTCCTTCTGAAATAACGCCTTTCCTCACTGGTCCCAAAGCCCATGCCTGCTTGTAAGCTGCTCAGCTTTGCCTATAGTGCTTGCCTGCACTTTGATTCACAGTTGTAGTTTAGACATACATCAGATACTGCTCTGGAAAACACATTGCCCTAATTCTTGTGAAAGCAGAGTGAATTGAGAAGTAGCCGGATTTTTGAGGAACACTCTCTGTGCTGCAGAGCTCTGATTTTTGTGTGGACAAACAAGTAAAGACTTATCCTGCTTTCATTACAAATCAGAGGAAATCACTGGCATCAGATGAGTACTGCTACCACATGGGAATACAGATAAACAGGCTTAGAAAAACTGAGACATATGGAAAGACGGGAGTAAAAGTTACAGAGAATACAGTATATAACAGTACAAAAGGCTAATGTAAAAGCAGCACCAGGGTGCAGCCAAAAATCTCTTCACTTGGGACTGCCCTCACCTCAGCTATTCAAGAATTATAAAATAGTTTGGATTGGAAGGGACCTTAAATACAGATCACCTAGTTCCAACACCCTGACACGGGACATGCCCAGTTGCTGAGGATTGCCAGCGAGATGTGCAAGATATGAAAAACACTGTCCAATGAAAGTGCAGTTTGGAGCAGTGCTCTTTAGCCCCACTGTCTTTCACAGAAGTAAGACAGATACATGATTGTCCCTTTCCACCCACAGAACTGAAAATTTCAAATGAAAATGATTCCTAAGGAGTCAGAAAGAAGTAAAATCGAGATGACGAAGGGTAATCCCTTCTTATTCTGTGACTTGGCAAGTTATCTGAACTGCTTATTACCCAGCTTCTCTGAAAGTAAACTGTGAGATAAAGAGTTCTCAGTGTTATGTTACTAAACACAGAGGTATATTTTTAAAGCCCTTCAAACTCTCCAAATGAAAAATTCTCCATATTGTTGTCATGTATTTTATCTCATGATGTCAGTTTTCTCAGTGACTGTATCCTCTGCTAAAGTTATCGTCAAGGTAGGGGACTGTACTGCTGGTCTGCCTTTCAGCTGGTTCCTCACCTTCACATATTCTTGGCACTGGGCAGTCTCCAGTTCTTACCTTGCAGTCTTCTGGCTGGTTTATGACAGCTCTCAATTTCTCATTCTTTCAATGCTGGATCATTTACTTGAACCAGTTTTTTGAAAGTGTGACTTTTTGCAGACCTCTGACGTATTTCTTCCTTCTCCTCCAAGGAATCCAAGACAAATTGCTTCTTTCTGAAGGTCTTCTTTCACTACTGCATCCCAGTTCCTCTGCTTTTTAATCAGAGTGAGAGGTTGTGCTCTGTCTCTGCTGCCAGACTTGTTTACCAGTAAATATTCCAAAAATACCAAGAAGCACTATTCCACTTTCTCCCAGATTGCCTTTTATGCACAGGAGGAATTTCTTTAATTAATTTCAGCTCTGAAACTCTTCACTATAATTCGAAGCAGCTCCTTTTCTGTCCCCACTGTTAATGAGCTTTGTCTTCATATGTCTGGGAGAAGGACAGAAAGGGCCATGATGGCTAAAATTGTTTTAAATTGGTTTTCAGCGTGCAAAATAAACCAGACAGCTCCTGGGTGAAACTGATTGTAGTTTCACTGCCCCCTCTGCAGACATTTAATCTGTCTGGCTGGTGAGGATGGGACTCACAGCAGGGACAGAAGGTATTGACTTTCCCACTTTTTTGAATAATGTTGTTTTCTTCCCCACCCCTCCCTGCCCCCCTCCCAGCTGACTGAGGCGGTTTCATCTGAATTGTCATTCTTAAATAATTGTCCTAGTAGGAGCAGTACATTTCAACCTCATGCCATCCTTTGCAGATTTAGGCTAGAGAGATGCAGCCTGACATTCTGAGTCTATGCACACTGTGAAGGATTGCTTTGATCAGGTTGTGTTTATAATTTGAGTCAGTAAAATAGAATTCTTACTAATTGTGTTTAAGGCATGATGCATCGTGTAATCTGCAAAGAAACTCGTTTCAAAAGCACTTAAAAGGAAAATAAAAGACAAAAACAGCTGTTCCACTGAGTCATTTTCCCAATGTGCAACTTAAAACAAAGCAAAACAGAGAAAAAGCCTCTCCCAGTTGTAAGTTACTTGTGTTGATATGATTATGGAGTAGGATAGTGCCAGGAATGTGGGGAAAAACTACAGAAAACTCATCTCCACATTCCTTTTTATATCAGAAGTTTGGAAACAGAAAACAAAAAACAAAACAACAAACCCTTTGGAGTGAAAAAACCCAGAAAAACCTCAGTTTCTTAAGAGATACTGGTACCTAACTAAATTATAAATAGGAAGCCATGTATTGATAGTCCAGTGTAATTTGCAAAGATCAGAACGAGCGTAAGATGAAAGGAAGGGAATTAAAATAATGAAACAAGATACTAAAAAAATCATGTCACATGTGCATGTGTGCGTATTTTCATGTGTTTGAGTATAATACAGTCTCAAAAAAAATGTTGTAAGATCTGGTGAAGGAAATGGAGGTAACTGCACTACATGAAAATAAAGACAAGACAAAATGTACAGCAGGCACTGCTTTTTCATCAGTAGAAAGTTGAGTGAACAAGTGAACAGCCTTTTTCATACTTAGAATGGCCTTCATCCCACCCATCTTTCAGAGAGAAAATGTAAACTAAGTTCTATCAAGATAAGCTTTGAAAATACAGAGCTCAAAGGAGTACAAAGATGTGACATGCATGTGTTTTTCTTGTTTCCAGATATCTCAATAAGCTTGCTCTCCTTAGTTGTCACAGCCTGTGGCCTTGCTCTGTTTGGTGTCTCTCTGTTCGTATCTTGGAAGCTTTGTTGGATCCCTTGGCGAGAGCGTGGTCTGCCATTTGGGAGCAAAGACAACAAACAAGAATCGCTGAACTACACAGATACAGAGACCAATGACCATGACTACAGTGAGGATTATCTGGGACAGCCTACAGCCTATCCGGAGTCCTCCATGAAGATCAGCCACACCTCCCCTGATATTCCATTAGATGCTCAGGCAGGAACGAAGGAGAACTGTGTACAGAATGCGCGAATGCATCGTCAGGTCACTGAACCAACCTCTTCTGATCGGTCAGTAACTCCAATTTCTCTCTGAAATTAATGAATACAGGTACAGTCAAAAGAGCACAGCTTGATTATCCAGTACACTGAATGTATAATTTTTCGCCACATTCTTTTTAAAATAAAATTGCACAAAAGTTATTCTTTGAGGTATGGAAACCTCTTAGGTTAAAAGGACAGGATCACAATACTATTCCACTCTTCTATCAACTACTATCTCATTTGTGCCTCTCCCTCAGAAGCTGGACAAGACAGAGCACTGTGTGGCTCTTAAAGCACCAGAACAGCCTAGATTTAGCTTGTAAAGCATATTCATTTGCACTCAGCACTGTTGCTGAATACTCAGTGATTATGTCCTCAAAAATTTTACAAGAGCCAAAGGAGAAAAGTAGGGCAAGCTAATGCAGCACTTGGAAATTAGAAATAGGATTAAAAATCATAGATTTTAGCCACAATCATGGCTGTGGGGGGAATAGTGACTGAACAAGAGTCAGTGGGGTCTCCAGGGCAACTGGAGAACCGGTACAGGAGTAAAGAGGAAAAAGAGAGGGTAAGTGTGTGTATATCGACAGGTGATGAAAGAATTGTATTTCACACAGTAAGAAAAAGGGTCAGCATGTGAAGAGACAGTAGATGTCTTGAGTCAAAGCAGATGTACTTCAGCTGGAAAGGTACAGCACTAGCCCTAATGCTCTTTACTAGCCTCCTTCCTGGACATCTAGGAAAGCAAATTTAGCCAAGACTTGTGCCTGCAGGCACACCTGAACATGGGAATGATGACAACAGCCATTTCAGTAATTGCCAGTTGTCCAAAACATGTCCCAGAAAGAATTTGAGAAGTCCACAGAACATTGTTATTGTGACACAGTAAAAGATCCAGGTGCCCTTCCTCCTTAGATTAGCATAAGAATGAGTTGGGTTTATACTGTTGTAGGAATCTATGGGGAGGTCAAAGCCACAATTACGGGTACTGAAGCACGCACCCTGCCACACGCAAGACTGAATTCCAGCTAAGGACTAATAGCCCACAAGTACAGTACAGGACTAGTGATGCTGTTTTCAAACTGCTGGGAAATACACATGTAAAACTCATTAGCAACAGAAGATTCATATCTGACATCTTAAAACCAAGAGCTCTTGTGTGTCTTTGATACTGTGAAAGTATTGTGTCGGATACAGACTTCCTCTGCTACAACAGGGCAGCAATTCTGATACTTAAATTAAATGACAAATGCAGAGTATCACCACAGCATAGTCGTCTCACAAGGAGTAGCAGCAATCCCAACCTGTAAAAGAGCTTGCCTTAGTATCCTCAGTGCATGCACAATGTCTTCACTCCTGTCAATCTCTGCAGACCTTGTTTCTGGCAGCTGTTTCCAGTCTGACTCTCTCCAGCAGGTTTTTATTCCACTGGCTCTCTGCCCACAAGGTCATGACTTGTCCAAGTCCCACCCCTACCCTATATCGTTTCCTGGTACAGGCTTTGCACTTTAGTCCTCTCTTTCATTGCCCATTACTTTTGATCAGGTCTTCTCCAAAAGACTCTTTCACTGATCAGGAGGGGCCAATCTTCCTTACACTGCATCCTTTGTTCACCTTTGTCTCTGCTGCTTTCCTTCGTAACTGAGTGGTTGTGGCTTTCCTCTGTGGCCACAGAGACCAGGCACCAGCCCCACCACAATCCTTGCTAAACTGTCTCTCCAGCCTTTCTCCCTTCATTTTATTCCTCCCACTTTGATGAGGAGCATAAGAGTTAAATAATAAAAATCTTTTTTTGTAACATAATAATATTGTATCCTGAAATTACGATTATATAGCTATAAAGTTATGTACTTATTATACATGAAAAAGATAGGTTAGTATATAAGAGGGTGTTCCTGTTTTAAGCATGCATAAACACATATTCACAAGGAATGAATGAACAGTGATAGCAGAGGAACTATTCCTGACTATATTCAATATAAATAGCTTCAGACTAATCCTGTGCTAGCATTTTCCACATGCTCTTTATATGTACAACCACAGCTCATGGTACTCCAAGACTCTGGATGACTGTTGCATATGAATAGGAAAAAAAGGTGGAATCCAACTCATATAAGATTAGGATTTTACCTAATCCAGTTTTCACATCCCACTACCCCAACAGGGTTTGCAAATTTGATTTCTGTTACTATCTCATGAAGTGGAAATTTCAATCACAGTAACTGAGTGACTCCAGGTAATAAATTTCACTGGACCGAAGCTAAAAGCAACTTTTCTCTCCTCAGAGTAATGAAAGTAAAGGAGCTTTTCAGCCAAAGTACCACAGAGTCTATTACATTAGGTATGAGAGAAAAAACAAAACAATTGTTGAGGAGGTCAACAAACCATTTCAGACCAGAAAAGCCCACTTGTAAATGTAGTCATAGTAATTAAGTAACTAAGTAACTAAAATGCAGAGGTGTCGGGAAGTTTCTTCCTTTGTCCAGCTTTGCCTTAGAACCAGAAATCAGCAAGCTCAGCTGGCAAAATAGGCCATAGCCTACTCCAATTTACATAATGTAACTCATTTCATTGGCAGTAATCCAAAGACCTTGGTTGAAAATGGTAAATGATAAGAACATCTACAGTTCTTATATCACATTATACTTGCCAGTAAGGCAGCTCCTTTGTATTTGCAATGGCTGTGAATTTGCCTTTGTCACTTTCTTCAGCCATGTTTGGAGAGTACATACCACTAGGTTGAGATAGAGGAGCAAAAAATTATGTCATATGAACAGCCTAATGCTGAAGGTGAGCTCTCACAGCTGTTGCGTTCATGGTTTATCACTTTATGCAAGTAAAAATCTGATCCCATTGTACATGACAAAAATATGTCAAATGAGAACAGTATCTTTAGTGTATGTGCACAGATTCTCATCATATTCAACACAATCTGTTTCAATTCTTTCATTTCCATTTAAGGCATAATTCAATCCGAAGACAGCTCAACCTCTCCAACCCCGACTTCAACATCCAGCAGGTTCAGAAACAGGAGCAACTGACGGGGATTGGCCGCATTAAGCCAGAGCTGTATAAACAAAGATCAGTGGACACAGATGATGGCCGGAGGAGTAATAGCAAGGCATGTGGAAAACTGAACTTTATTCTGAAATATGATTGTGATTTAGAGCAGTTAATAGTGAAGATACACAAGGCCATCAACCTGCCAGCAAAGGACTTCTCTGGAACTTCAGATCCATATGTGAAGATATATCTGCTTCCTGATAGGAAAACAAAACACCAGACTAAAGTGCACAGAAAGACCCTAAATCCAGTATTTGATGAAGTTTTTTTATTTACAGTCCCATACAATGATTTGAATGCAAGGAAGCTCCATTTCTCTGTGTATGACTTTGACAGATTCTCCAGGCATGACTTGATTGGCCAAGTGGTAGTGGACAATTTTTTAGATTTGGCAGATTTTCCCAGGGAATGTAATATTTGGAAGGATATTGAATATGTCACCAATGTAAGTATTACAAATTTCTTTTTTGAAATTTTTTGTTTCTGGTTTTATTTCTTTAATCTGATAGTAACTGAAACTGTCTGATACATTTGTGAAGGAAACTATTATCTCTCTTTCTGAAGCTTTGACCTTAATCCAAAGAAATTGATGGTATGTTTTCAGTCTTCATTTCTGATTCTTTGGATATATTAAAGAATGTCTTATGTAGGAGATAGTGGATTTAGTCACTGCCCTGCTGATGAGATAGAAAAGCTGGAGAATGTTTTCCTCTTAATCATACTTAATCTAAAACTTACTTAAGGAAATACTGCTTCTCTTATTTTGCCTGTCTTTCTGTGTTTTGCATGAATCGCCACATAAATTACAGCATACTAATCAGCCAGAAGTGGAGATTCAAAATTTCTTCTGTGGTGCTCTTCAGTCCTTCAGAACACTATATTCTCATAAAGCAAGATACCACCACTCTATAAACCGGGGAATTAGAGTTCAGACTGTGCTGTTCCATGAAAGCAATTAAAAACACTGAAGTAGTTTAACTCTTTGTTTCGTATCTTTTTGTTACATAGGGAAACAGAAAACTTAGAAGTCCATATTTCTGCTATCCCAAAGTCTCTGTTATCAAATTCTATGCAGGAATCCAATTAGTGATTAGCTACAAACCCACAAAAATTACTTTTTGGAAAAGAAAGAGCTTTCTTCTCAAATCATGAGCCAACCTTCATGTAATGCTCTTAGAAATTAACCACACTCATCCTATGATGAGATCAGACCTTCAATGAGAATGATACATTACAGAAATCCTTGAAGGTACTATTGCTAATTCAGTAAATATTTCATTTGCTATGTCAATCTCTCCTCAAATGTAGTGCACATTTTAGAGTCAAATAAAGCAAACACCATTAACAGTAAGATCAAAGTGTGAGTTTGTTAGACCTCAGTTCAGGAAAGCATTTAAGCATATGCTTAGCTGAGTGTAAGTAGCCATTGAAAAGTAAAGCATGTTCTGAGCCAAATAACTTTCCTGTATTCAGACCCTCATCTTACAACCTCTGTGGTCTGGTAGCATGACCATATTACTGACCAAATTGATTAAATCCATCTTTTAGTTTGGAATTTCTTTTTGGAAATTGATATTGTCCTTGTTTTAAGGTGACTTCTCAGTGTTCTTAGTTGGTGTTACCTATATTCCTGTGTGAAATGTGCTGTGCACCCACTGCACAATCCTCTTCCACCCTAGGATGGAACTGCAGCAGCAGCAGTGCTAGCAGTTTCCTCACTCAAGGTACAGGCAGGGTCATGGACACTCAGTGTCACAGGAGGATGAACCCAGCTTTTCTATGAAAAGTTACTGCTCTTCAACTGCAGAAAAGTAAGAAACTGACAGAGGAGATGACAGTCATTCTAAGTGAAAGCCTGTCTGCATACAGCATTAAGTGTCCCAAGCTCAACTTCTCTTAAAATCAACTAAAAGTTGAATGCACATGCACACTGGATTTACTTTGATACGTACTAGGCCTTTTTCCATGCTTTAATTTAGGCAAGAGTGGCTCTGGTATTTTCTTTTTAATCCCTTCCCCTTACAAAGTTCAGAAGCGATGCAGCATATAGTTTGTAATCAGATTTCCTGTAATCTCTGAAATGAAATTCAGAACTGAAGTGATTTATTAATTCTGATGAATATTAATTCCTGTGTGAAGTGTAACCCTGTTTATCCAAACAGAACACAGGACCTGCCATCTAGACTTGTCACTGGGTTTTCAGCTAACAGAGACCTTTTCAAAGCAAATGATGCATAGTACTTAGGAGACACAATCCAATTTTGGCTAATGTGAGTTCTGAGAGAAAAGTATCAGATAAATGAAAGTATGGAGTATTCCGCTTACTAATTAACATTTTCAAAATTTCAAAGGTTAGAACTTACTCCATGAAGTTACGAGAAACCCTCCAAGCATCATTTAAGAAACCAAGTTTCAGCACTTTTTCCTGTCTGTGTAGTTTAGATATCTTGCAGACTGACAGCAGAAGCTGAACCCTACGGGCTACTCAGTGAAGCTGCTGAAGTGAAAACTCCTGTGGCTGCACTCCAAACCAGGCCAGCAAGCAATAGCAATGAACCTCTGAAATAAATCTCAGCAAAGTTTAGAGTGCTGTTGGGCTGTTTATAACTGCAAACAGAAACTGTATCAACTGTAGCAAGTGTTCAATAACTTTATATTTGAATGCCTTGTTTTAGATAGTATTTGCAGAACAGACCAATGGTGGGCAAACTTACCGAACTAAATTCACTTGATGTAGATCAACAAAGAGTGCAGCACAGGAGGGATAAACCTCTGAAGGCTCATACAACTACACATGACAAGTTTGTCATACTTCTGAAGAGCACATTCATATTAATTCCTTGTGCATCTTATTACACTGCATAACCAGGAATCCCAGAGGGCTTTATTTTACATTCCCCATTTTATTATGTTCTAATCCAATTTGATACAGTAATATAAAATAATGTATTGAATCCTCCTTTGCCGAGAAAAATAGCCTACTTCAAGAGAGCACTGTGGATATGCCTGAAATGTCAGCTTTACTGCAAACAATGCCATTCAATTGTCCTATTATGCCATATTTTTTCTTCTGTTTTCTAATAAGACTGAAAGGGTTTTTTTATCCAAAACCAAGAGTTTTGATTCTTTGGACTATAACATCTGCTACCATCCCAGAGTTTGAAATTATTTCATAACACAGACAAGCGTTAGCATAAAAACTTTCTACACACTCAAGAGCAATCTGCCCCCAAACACAAATCTCTAATATAAAAATGATTGTTCTTCTAATTCCAGGTCATCTGAGCATAAAATCTCTTTCCTGTAACACTGGCACTTTTTCCAAGCAGAAAAAAAGCAGCAGTGGGCTGTATAATGGAGGAAATAATTAAGTGGATCAACCTTAGATGAACATGAAATGAGCTAGATAAGCTTTTTGTGTATTTACCAAACAGATTACACTGGTTTCTGGCTTATCAAAGAAAAAGATATATGTCATTTTTAGGCTGGGTTCCAGTAGTTGGCATGTTTTGTCTAGTAGCTTCTAAAACATGTTCAGGGTTTGGGATGTTGGGGTTTTTTTGTTTGTTTCTGTAATGTTCATAGATTGATTGCATTTTTTGAAGAGGAAGAGTTGTTAATATTTCTTTGGTTGCCATCTTTAAACTCAGATGTAATCGGGCAAAAATACATGGCTTGTCACAAAATAAAATGTGAAAGACAGGTTGTTGTCAGATGGTGCTTTTCAGGTAAAAGAGAACTTTAAGAAGATGCTAGGTATCCACTTGCATAATTTGCTGTGCACCCAGAAAGGAAAATACTTGCTCAAGAATTGCTAGTGAAACCCCAGAAGGCAGCTATAGAGAGAAGGATTTCTGGAAACTGGAAATCTGGTTCTGGTTCATACTGGCTGTTTGGATTCTCAAGATGCTTGGCATTTGTCACTTGCTAAGCAAGTGGTCTTTCTAGATGAGTATTTAAAAGTAGCCTCCACTTAGAGCAAGGTGATAATCAGAGTAAAGAACAATGCACATTTCTATTCTTACCTGGGCCAGCATTTTCAAAAATGGATACTCATTTTAGGAGGCAAATTTGTTGCTTTGGTCTTACAGTATATACAGCTTTGGAAGCACACTGTCTCACATATAGTTATACTTGAGATCTAGGCATGGTACAATGAAAACTATTCTTTTTCTGAATGTCTAAACTTATATATATGCTTTAGAAAAAAGTATCTCAATTTTGTAACACTCCATTGGCACCATTTTCTCATCTCACCCTAAGGTTGTACAGCCCGGACTAACCTGTTTTCGTGACTCTTTCAATTATATTCTAAAGGGATATTTACAACAGGATTTTCAGTGATTATGTACCTAATAGTCTATAAATTGTAACTACCATATTGGCTCCTACCATTTATCCTTATTGTGTGATTCCTCTGAGACCCTTTTCTGTATCTACCTCCTGTAAAGGTGTGAAGTAAATTGAAACTGATAAAGGTAAAATCAGTTGCTCAGATTCAAACCATGGTTTACTCTTTATTTGCCAACAAGTGGAAAGGACAACAGAAAGAAAGGATTCAAAAGGTACTTTGTTTTGAAGTACTTCTGCTTTTGTGTTTAGGTGAACATTTAAGAGTGCAGCATCCAGCCCCCAAAATTAAAGAGATAGTATATGATTATATGATAATATATTCATATAGTCATTCAATGTGATAATGTATTTCACTCACAAAAGGAGAGTGAAAATATAGAAGGAAAATATTTCTGAGAGAAAGAGAGATTACAGAAAGACAATGCTGGGTAATACACATAGAATTTGAGAAGTAACATGTCACAGACTTTGGAGAATGTGTATGGTTTGCTGAATATCCAGAAGATAGCTATGGATAGTTTAAAACTATAAAGATGCATAAGTTCTAAATCAAGTTGTTTACTCTGATGTCCAGAAAGAGTGAGCATGTGCTTGAAGTTGCAAAGCCAAGAGACTGATTGCATCTGTTTTTAAGAATCTTCAAGCTCTTTTAGGGTGTATGTAGTGGGCAGGAATACTATAGTGTGTCAGATCATGCTGAATTCCTTTCACACAGAACAATGAAGAAAACCATATTTTATTTTATTTTTGTTATGAATTTAAGTTGCATGTTGGTATACAAGCTAGTGTTTTGACAAAGAGAGAAAGTAGGATGGCTCTAAGTATTTGAAATTCTGCATTCTTGAAACGTTAATTGTTCGCTACTGTTGTTACTGAGTTTGCCCAAGAAAGAAAGATTTGAGAATTTGTATTTTTAGGCATTTATGTTGTATAACTAAGATGCAGCTGGAATCATAACATTCCCAGAAGGAAATTTCAAGTTCCCTGTTTCAGATATGTTAATGCCAACCACAGGATGTGTGGAAGAGAAACAAAAAGAGATTACATTATTTCAGTGGGTTGTTTATGAAAAGTGTAATAAAAGTCTAAAATTCTGAAACCTGACCAAACCTACCAGATTTTTTGAGTTCAAAACTATTTAAAAACAAAAATAAAAATTCTCAAAGGTTGTATTGCTCAGGAGCATTCCTGCTAAGAGGCTGTGAGCTGTTTAATGTGTGCCAAATGCACATGCATAGGTGCAGGTCATAATACTTAGGGCTTATACCCTCAAAACTTCCTTCTTTGAAAGGAGTAGGTAAATACTGTCCCTAATACATGGGCAGTGGAACGGATGTGGACAAAATGGATGTGACTTGCTCAAGACATGACACTACTAAATAGCAGAAATGAGACCAGGTCCAGAATCTGTAGATTCCTGGCACCAGCTTTAATCAACTCTATGTAGCACAGCTTATGTTCTTTGACAGATACAGTAGCTGGCAGTAAGTCATCAAAGTCCACCTACTCTGATTTAAAAAAATGTTCAGCTTGTCAAGATGTTTTAGCTAGTGTTTCTAAAATCCCTCTTCTGGCAAGTTGCTGGGTGTGGAAGAGCAGTGGCATTAAACAAGATCTCAGGAAAGCATTTGAAGTGTTTACAATGGTTATCAAAAATTCTTGAGTCAACAGTCTGCGAAGGAACAGAATCAAACCAAATCTGTCTCTCTGAGACCTGATCCAAGCCATCCATGTTATGTGCCACATCTACTTTTCAGGACTATAGCAGTAAATGGGAAACACTAGTTGATTTTTTTTTTATTATTTTTTATTTAATACAGA